CTTTAGTAGGTGATTTTAATGCACTCAATATTTACTGTGATTGAGCTCGCTTCTGCAGCACATACAATACTTACTGTGACGACTGATGTGTTTACATTTAGACTTCTGTCCTGTACGTCATTCAGCTCTAGTCAAGCTGAATTTCTTTCTCTCCTTACACACTCTGACTAGGTCCTGTAACCAGGTCCTGCTTCAGTCACTGTATTGTTCCCTCTACCTTCCTATGGCTTGCTGTCCTTAACTGCTCTTGTCCTCACTGAATGTCCTGTCTCTCCACAAGGCCTCCCTCATGCTATCTCTTCACTATGCTTTTTAAAAATTAGCCATGATTCCCTGAACTGGCTTTACTAGATTACTTACTTAATGTCTGCTTTTCTCACTATAAACTCTAAAAGGATGGGCCTTGTCCATCTTGTTCACTATTGCTGGCATGCAAGTTATTCTTAAACTTAAGTATTTTTAGAAGATTCATAAGTCAAACTGGATTTAAGTTTATAGCTTTCTGTGGTGTTAGGAATGGGCAAAATGAGAATATTCTCATTAAAGTAATATTATTTTCCAAAAATGTGTTGTTTATTAAATATGAAATCAATTTTAGAGAACACTGTATTTTCAAGCACCTTTTTGTACCTTGATTACTACATATCTTAAACATTAGAGGAATCTGAGTTTTTGTTTTTCAACTTAGGAAATAAGGCAATTCGATTTTAGAAATGAGACAAGTATTCAGTTTCAGATGAAAATACAAAGTTTTTTTTCTTGGTCAGTATCAAATTCTGCCACTACTGATTAAATTACTTCCTATTTGCCATTTTGGGGGAAAAGTTCATTTCAAAATAGCAATTGCCTTCACAAGAGGAAAGAGGGTATCTGTTTTCATAGTTCAATACTGCTGGTCTGGACAGAAAGTCTTTCCTATGAGACTGTTAAGGGAATACGCTAGCTAGCCTGACACACAGCCTTATTAAGTTTAGGGAGATTATTCAGAACTTTCTCTATTCAATGGATGAGATTTACATACATTTTCTGTATTTTTGGTACTTCTTTGGTACCTCTTATAAGAGAATAGGAGACTCAAAAGAAGTAAAAAGCCTATTTAAAATCATACAATGTAATGAAATATGAACACATCCATATCTCTGAATATCTATAGTTATCAAACAGGAAAGAAAGAAGAAACCTGTATGAAGACACACGACATTCTAAAAACCTTTTAGATAAGCTTTCATGGTTTAGAGTTACCAGGTAGGCAATATAAAAATACTACTGGGTGCTTTCCCCAAAGATTCTAATTCAGTAGGCTTGGGACTGGGTCTGAAAAACTGCACTTCCCACAGGTTTCCAGGAGATGGTCTGGGGTCCACTTTGAGGACCATTCTTTTAGACTATCATTTACATATTTGCTTTGGGATTAAGGTGAGAGATATATATCAAGACTATCAAGATATCAGAGACAATTTTCATTTGATCTCTGGTACTTTTTGATGTAGCAGTTCCTGTATATCCCACTTCAAGTTTCTTCCATTGTTAAGTTTGAAATGCTGTTAAAATATTAAAAAATAAATTGTCTTTAAATTCTGAAAGCAAAAATAGAGTTTTATATATCTGCATGGTTTGGCTCAGGCATATATGAATCCAAATGATTTAGACCAAGAGTCCTAATATCAAATGTCTCTCAATGTCAGGGGTCAGACAGTGAGTGAGGTAGGCCAGATAATGTGGAAGACTGGAGAGGCCAGGCTAAAGATGCTACTCAGTTTCAGACACCCATCAATCCAATAATATAGGTCTATTATAGCCAGATCTTCCAAGATATGCCACAGATCCAACATTCCATATAAAAATCTCTCAAGTTTTAAATGTAGGCAACTAATTTAAAAAAATCTAACCACTGTAATTTAAAGTAATAATAAAACACTGTAATTTAAAAAATCTAAATGCTGTATACAACACAGACAGGTCTGTGGGCTGGATGTTGTCAGTTTATGGCCTCTAGGTTAGAAGAAAGTCTTAAAAGAATAAGAGTTGGGCAACATGCTAACCTATTCACTTTGCTCATGGACCACTTACTCTAGCAATCACCTACTTCCAAAATTAAAAGCCTTCTCTAAAGACCTATGAAAGAAAGCACCTTTTTATAAGCAGCTTTTCCATCAAAACAAGTTCTGTGCAAATGATCTTAGTATGAGAAAACTGTGGCACAGAGAAATGAATTCTTCATACCTTGCAACTACTGATCTAAGAATAATGATGAGGGTTTCAGGATCACTAACTTCTACAACATTTTTTTTTTCTGGTACCGGATATCGAACTCGGGTCCTTTGTGCTTGCACAGCAGGCGGTGAAACCACTGAGCTAAATCCCCAGCCCTCTACAACATTTTTAAAAGAAAGAAAAAATAAAAATAGAAGAGTACAGACTTGAGGATTCTTAAGCATTCTATCACACCTAATAATGTGATTTGGTAAGTGTAAGTCATTTAAACATCTTTGCCTAGAAATTCACTAAACTGAGAAAATCACATCTTACAACTACACAGGCAACAAAGAATAGCAAGCACAATAATTCAAATCTCATAAGTTTACTCTAACAATAACATCCTAGAGCACCATGTTAAGGACTTTCAGCCAGGCCTGGCGGTATACCACTTATAATCCCAGCTACTCAAGGAGCTGAGGCAGGAGAATCACAAGTTTAAGGACAGCCAGGGCAACTTATCTAGACCCTGTCTGAATGAATGAATGAATGAATGAGTGAATGCAGAAACTGTAGCTCAGTAGTATACTTGCTTAGCACACATGAAACCCTAGGTTCAATCCCCAGTACACACACACACACACACACACACACACACACACACACACACACACACAAAAGACTTCCAAAGCCAAATCTTAACTCAGTGGAAAAAATGAATGCCAAAGACCTGAAAGAGGAATGAATGACAATCCATGTGCTCTTTATTTGGCCTCTTTTATATAGTAGATAAAAACACAGTACCTGTGTCAGAAAATCTACAGTCCATATATACTATATTAACATAGTGACTAGAAAAATACTTTTAAAATATATCACCTCATGCCAATGGTTTTTCATTCTATTCAGAGTAAAAGCTAGACTCATTATTACACAAAAAGCCCCCCACTATCTAGCTTCCCATTATATTCTGATTTCATTTCCTGGTGCATTCTCCTGATGCCATTCCAGACATACTAAGCAAGTCCGTGCCTCAGGATCTTTACATCTGCTATTCTCACTGCCTAGAAAGCTCTTCCTTTGGATATGTACACACGTCACAATTTTATCCTCTTACTACTGACGATATCCTTGACTACTCTATCTTAAAAAGCTGTTCCTCTCCCTTAGCCTCCTTTTGTTTTATATATAGTATTTTCGACAATACTTAACACCACTTGACCCACTAAATATTTTACTTATTTTTCTTCTAGAACAAAATCTCCATAAGGGATGAGTATTTAGCTGTTCAGTTTACTTATTCCTCCCTAGAATAGTCTCAAGGACATAAAAAAACACTGACTAAAGAGATGTAGGAACAAACAAATGATAAAGCAAATGAACCTGGGTTCTAACATTGGTCCAGTGACTAATCAGTCAAATAAACACAGGTGAGTCGTTTTTGTTCTCAAAAAATCTCTATCCTTGGTGGTATAATCTATCATATTTTATGAAGGTACAAATTAAGTCACAGAAGAGTGACATCACTTCCTCTAGGCTTGTCAGGAGGTGTTAGTTACTTTTCTCTCGCTGAGACAAAATAACCGACACCCAAAGTTAAAGGAGAAGAGGTTTATTTGGCTTACAGTTCATAGAGGTTTCAGTCCATAGTCAGCTGGCTCCAGGATAGGGGAGGCAAAAAGACATCGCAGAGGAGAATCAACATGGTTTGCACAAGGCAGCAAAGGCAACAAGGAAACTTCAGTTCATGCCGGTGGAAGACAACAAAAGCAATAAAAGAGAGCTTCCCCACATCTTTCTGCCTTTTATCCCATCCAAACTACCCAGATTAGGGTGGTGCCAAACTAATCACTTGCATGTAGTGGTTTAGTAATCACACACCCTTAACCCCAGCATCACATATTCCGGATTCAACGACCTCTGAAAAAGAAAGTCCCACCTCATCCACATGAGACTTTGAGGGGGACATCTAGACACAAGCCACATCAGGAGGATAGTGGAAAGCTAGGTTAAAAAGGCCTCCTGGAGTTCCAATCCAGTGCCCAAACTAAACCCTTTTAGAAACAATGACAGAAATGTGTCAGCTGAATACCAAACTTTAGAATTAAGAATGCAAAAATAAAGAATTCCTGAAGAGAAAAATCTTTTCTAGAAATATTCACCAAAGGAACATGAACTCCTTAGCTTACTTTAAAAAAAAACTGTGTTGCCTCTACTCATTAAATCCTTATGACTATTACTAAGTGTCTGCGGTTGAAGGAGAATGTTCCACAGCACAGAAAGGAAAAACAACACCCAGTTTTTCATAGGAAGCTTTGGAATAATTTAATATTCATCCTCTAAAAAGATTTCAAATAATCTCAGTCCAAAATTAAGAGACTGACTAGCAAAACAACAAAGACACAAGTATCAACTGCCCTTCAATCTTAATGCTTCTGTGTAAAATCACCATCCTAAATAAACTATTAAAGACTGTTGCATCTTCATTTGATGACTATTTCTTTTACCACTATTAACTTCAAACTGGACAAACAGAAAAATGGCAAATAAAGGATTTACGAAGCAAAAATAAGTCATTAATCAGGGAACTCAGAACTGCTCAAGTGTCAGGAAAATGCTGTCTGAAACTCATGAGGTCCTTGGCGGAGAGCTCCTGGAGGGGCAGTTAACAGAAGACTCAAACTGCACAAGAAAATGCTCAAGTGCTCAGGTACTTCCAGTGAAATGACAGAAGTGGATGTTCCATAGATATTTCAAATAACTTCTCCCAGAAGACATAACCATTTAATTCCAATATTACTTACAAATTCATAGTCTCCATCCTGAGGTACTTTCCACTCTGAAGAATTTTTCAGTGGGCCAGGTACACTCTTGCCAAAGCTGTTGATCTGATTTTCCTTTTCTTTTTGTTCAAAGTATTCAAGGAAAGATGGTTTTGCAGGCTGCATGGTCTCATCCCTTCCTAAAACATAAGAAAATTAAAAGGTAAAAAGGAATAGTCCTGTATTTTAGGTAACTGTAGTAAACAGATCTCCAGATGAACTATGGCCACTGGATCAATGCAATGAGTCTTTTGGTTAGAAAAGGACTCCTTTAACCCTCTAATTAAAGTACAGAAAAGTGTACACATACTCACTAAATTATTTTTCATAGAATTCAAGATTTCCCTACAGTACCAATATACACATAAACAAAAATGCTGACAGGCCTCTTTTTCTAGATAGAGAGATTTGGGTCCTGCAGTAACTCTGGGTAAGCTGCAAATAGTACATTTTGGATGCCCTTCATCACATAGTTCCTATAACTTCTAAAGGGAAAACACTTGAGGAGCAAGCAAAAATATTTATTTAGTACCCACTATATACAAAATTCTCTATGGGCATTGCAGTAGGTAGGAGGATCACATATTAGGGTGACTTTTCTTGATAAACTCATAATCCAACTGGAATAATAAGAAAAATATATATAAAAAATAAAAAACAAACTATAATCCATCCAACTCTGAAATATTACATAACTTTTAAAGTACTATCTACAAATGATTTACAACAAAGGGAGAAAATAGGATACAATATTATATACATGTAATATATTATGTTCTCAATGGTGTAAAATCATGTAAAGAAGGAAAAACATTGGAAAAACAATACCAAATGTTAACAGGGCTTGTCTCTGGTCATAGGACTACAGGTGATTTTATTTACTTCTTTTAAACATGTTTTTAAAGAAGATAGTGCTGGATATAATTAATGAGTAGAGCTGATTTGATACATATGCCCATAAGATCTTGGAGGTGAATGGTCAGGAAAACTTGAGGGGAGGGTTTAGGTGGTGTCTCAAAGCACCACAGAGAATGAAATCAGCAGGTTTTATTTGTTTGTTTGTTTTTGTTTTTTGTTTTTTGGTACCAGGGGATTGAACTCAGGACCTTGAGCTTGAGAGGCAGGCACCGGAAAAACTGAGCTAAATCCCCAGCCCAAAATCAGCAGTTATGCAAAAGCAGTTACTAGATGACACCATAACACAGCTGTTGCTAGTTACTAGTAACAATGGCAAAAAAGAATAATTTCACCGGGCATGATCTCAAACTCTAGCTAGTTGTACCTATTTCACAATTTGTGCCTATGATTAGTAATCTAATATGGGTAAATACAGGGAGTGTTCCATGTTTTCTGTGAATACAGTGGGTCTACATAGCCATTTCCCACAGTAACCAGGAAAAAGGATCAGAAGGCTCAGAGCCTTGGATTCTGGTGAATGTGGGTGAATCTGGAAGATAAAGAACAGCAAGTATTTCTCCCTGGCACCCCCGTCCCATGTGATCTTATCACACAACACCTGCCTAACCTAGTTTCAAGCCACCACCTTGTCTCCCAGACTTTTGTCATCTTTCTATCACCAATGCCAAGTTTGACAGCAGCCAATCCCAGATTTGCCCACTTCCAGACGCTGCCAAGAGTTTACTACACTGTTGCCTCTTTGTTTAGGGGATTAAGTACCATGTTTGCTCAGCTCAGTCAGTGAGTACATGGTCTTTTGTTTTGTGTGCTTCAGGTACAATGTTAGGTGCTTTACATGTTTTTGTTTTGGGGTTATTTTTTTGACATGAGGTCTCATTATGTTGCCCAGGCTGCCTTGAACTCATGATCATCCTACCTTACCATCCTCCCACCTCAGCTTCCCAAACTGCTGGGATTACAGGTGTATGTAACATGCCTAGTTTGTTTAGTTTTAAGTTAAATTTCAGGTATTATTTCATACCACAGGTCTCCAGGAACTACAACAAAATAAAATGTGTAAAAACAATGGTGCTTTAGATTAGCTGAGCAGTCAGGAAGCTCTAATCTTGTGCTCAGTCCCTTCTGGGACTACCAGAAGAGAGGCGATTACTGGCTCTGACACAAGTCTGCAGCAATCCCACACATAGCCAACATATTAAAAAATAATAATAAAAGTGTTTGGGCTGGGCGTGTGCTCAGTGGGAGAGCGCTAGCCTATCATGTGTGAAACTCTGGGTGTGATCCCCAGTACTGGGGGAAAAAATGTTCAAAGAACCTCCTAGAGCTACACAACCTTAACAAATACTATTGGTGGACCACTGGCATATGCAGAACATGGCATACATTGATACAAAATATCCTGACCAGGTATACCAACCAATGAACAGAATAGAAAGCCCAGAAACAAAACAGATGTCCAAACGGGTAACCAATCAACTGGACTGTTATTTGAGAAAAGATTACACTGGATCTGTCTCATACCTTTAACCATGAAAATCCCAAATGGTTAAAATGTTTAATTGTAAAAATGGAAACCAAAAGTACTTGAAAACATGTGAATGCATTTAATTTAAAATCTATGTGTGGAATATTCTAACTGTAACAAAATTCCAAATGCAATGAAAAAAGACAAAAAAAGAAAAAAAGTGCATTAAAAAACCCCACAAATTTTTAAAAATTAATAATCACATAGACACTATAAGCCAAGCCAAAAGACAATAAAGAGAAAAAAAATTTGCAACAAGTATCTTGAAAATTTTAAGAGTGCTTTATGTATTAGTGAGATAAGCTACAAGTATTTTTTTAAATTTTTAATTTTTTTTTTTTTTTGATATCAGGGATCGAACTCGGGTCCTTGCGCTTGAGAGGCAGGCGGCGCAACCACTGAGCTAAATCCCCGGCCCGGTACAAGTATTTTAAAAAAATGTTTCTAGTTTTTGAGACAGGGTCATGCTATACAGTAGTTCAGGCTGGCTTGGAATTCATGATCCTCCTGCCTGGACTTCCCAAGTGCTGAAATTACAGGCCTGAGTCATCATGTCTAGGCAGAATTTTTCAATCAAGGAAAAGAAGATCCAAAATGGTAGAAAAATGGAATAAAGACTTGAAAAGATAATACACACAAAAGATACCTAATTGTCCTTACATACGAAAAAGCAAATGTTTAGATTCACTCGCAATAAGAGAAACTCTAAAACTGCTTAGAAATACTATTTCTTGCATTTCAGACTGGCAAAAACTCAAATGCAGGACAACACACTCTGTGTTGGTAAAGCTATGGGGACACAGGCATGCACACATGTGACTCAACTGGAATGCACAGCAGAACAATGGACAAGAAAGGGATCCTGAGTATCAATACATGAAACTAAGTATCAAAACATGAAATTGGAAAAGGCACAGAACCTTGGGGTGTTGTATTTGAACTGGAGGGCTTACTATGAACCTTTCTAAAAAATTTTTTTTTCTTTTTTAAAATCACCATTTGACAAGTGCATCATGGTAGCAAACATACATATATACTTTTTCTTAGGAAATAACATCAAACAGAACATCTCCTTTGGAAATACACACAGTTTGATATACCATGTCATACACCATGTCATTTTGTACCCTTTTTCCATCTATCTATCCATCATCTTTATATACACCCAGAGAAATGGGAAATGACTAAAAAAAAGTCAATAAAAATAGCAATTCTAGATAGAATTGGTAATTTAAGATTTCGTCTCCCATGAAATTAGCATTATACCCAATAACAAAACAATGTACTTCTATGGTGCTTCATTAACTCCTTTTGCTTGCAATACAAGTCAATTTTAGAAGTTAAATCTTTAAACTAAGGATGAAACCCTAAAGATAACATTTCTGTTATCTAAGCCTAAACCAGGCCATAAAAATCAAAGGATTGGGGAGGAGCAGTGAGGCTAGCTTCAGCCTCACCTCCCTAAATGAATTCAGCATGGAGAAGTCACAGAACTGTAAGGTTCCAGAGGATCTGTTCAATAGTTTGAAGGTTACAGATCCCCAGGAAGCAGAGTGTGCCAGGCCTGCAGTTCCTGATCCCAAAGATCAGCATTCTCAGAGCAAGCTGCTCAAGGATGATGAGGAGCAGGGAGAAGAAGAATGTTTTCATGACTGCAGTGCCTCATTTGAGGAGGAGCCAGGAGTGGATAAAGTTCAAAACAAAGCTGATGACGACGTGAATTCCTCTGAACTAGATGAAGAATACTTAACAGACCTGGAAAAAAATATGCCAGAAGAAGAGAAACAGAAAAGAAGAGAAGAGAGCACTAGACTAAAGGAAGAAGGAAATGAGGAATTTAAGAAAGGAGATTATGTAGAAGCTGAAAGTTCCTACAGTTGAGCCCTTCCGATGTGCCTGTCATGCTTCCAGGAAGAGAGATCTGTCCTGTTTTCAAATAGAGCTGCTGCAAGAACGAAACAGGACAAGAAGGAGATGGCCATCGGTGACTGCGGCAAAGCAATCCAGTTAAACCCCAGCTACATCCGGACAATACTGAGGAGAGCAGAGTTGTACGAGAAAATGGACAAACTAGATGAAGCCCTGGAAGACTATAAAACTGTGCTAGAAAAGGATCCATCAGTACATCAAGCAAGAGAAGCTTGCATGCGATTACCTAGGCAAACTGAAGAACGTAATGAAAGGCTTAAAGAAGAGATGCTAGGTAAACTAAAAGACCTTGGGAACTTGGTTCTCCGACCTTTTGGGCTCTCCACAGAAAATTTCCAGATCAAACAAGATTCCTCCACTGGCTCCTACTCCATCAATTTTGTTCAAAATCCAAATAATAGATAACAAAGATAACAAGTTTTAAAAGAAATTGTGTACTGCTTGCTGTTCGCAAGGGGCAAGGCCCTGCGAGTGTTTAACTTTCAAAAGCATCTTCTGTAGAGGAACAGCTGCCCCCTAAGAGCCTAGTGCTGCCTCTCTGCTCCCGTTTATAATCTTGGTGAAGTGTGCTTCTCGTGTCGTGAGCCTCATCTGGTTTCTACATTCCAGCGGTGTCTGTGCAGCTCTTGTCCTTTGTCCAGGAGGTAGTCTGCTTTTCACGGCTGACCTCTGAGCCACACACACTGCCTGCAGAAGCCTCTCCCTAAGGAGTGAGTTGGGTGACGGCCCCAGCAGGGTCCCCAGCACCCTCTGCCTTCCTGGTCACAC